ATTCCCTCCACCTGGCCCCTGAGGGGCCCTCAGCCCTTGCTTGAGTTTGCTAAGTCCAAACAGTACATGGACTTAGCAATCACGGTTCTTCCGATAAGGGAGTACAACCCATTTTTCCTGATTCCTTGTATGACGATCTTCTCCTTCTCGGTCATGTCGGCCAGCAATGCCGCCGACCCTTGCAAGGCTTCTGCCACCCTACTGAACCAATAGAGCTCTCATCTTTACTCTCCATAGGCCAAAGTCGTTCTTCTCATTGAATTTCTCAATGTCGAATTTTACGGAACTCATTGTTGTGGCTAGGATTTCTTCCAATGAATTCTACCTGCTGCCCTTCCAAGAACTAGACTTCTCCCCGTGAACTCCACCGCCATCGTCAACCAAAACGGAGAGCTCCGATCCCTTCTGACAGAGATCACACCTGTTCACCGGAGAAAACTTCCTGTTCTGTGCTCGCGCCTTCTTCCCGCAGGCACTCCTCTGCGTCCAGCAGAACAAATCAAGAATTCTCACCGGAGCCGCCGCGCCTCGCCAAACTGCTCAGGTCCTCCTGCTTCGCGAACTCCCGAACCCTTCTTTGCGCGATCTCCGCCTCTTCCCTCTGCTCGAGCTGCTCGCAATACCAAACTCCTGCTCCAAAATCCTTTGCTGGCAAGCCTGTCGCAAATTTTCAGCCCTCGCTCGCGGACTGTTCCTTCTCCGTCTCGCCGAACCGCACAACCTGTGGTGCGAATCCAGTCGATCAAAGCTTCCACTGCTCACTGAATTTGTTGTGATTCGGCTGCCTGCGACGCTATCCGTCCTCTGTTTGTGAATGCCGAACTCCTCTTCTTCGTCGCTGGCCACGAACACCTTTATGCGGACACCTCTAGCCAAGAAGTATGGATCTTCCCACAGATGGCGCCAATTGTTATGAGATATGTACTTTCTGACATAGAATTGAAAAGCAAAGAACACAAGCAAACACAGATCGTTTACGTGATTCGATCCAACTGGATCCACGTCCACGGGAGGGAATCAATCAAATAGTTCACTAAGGCAAAAGAAATGGAGAATACATAGCTTATACATAGAGATGAGCCCTCATCTTCCTTCTATGACCTCCCTCTCAAGCGACACCTTGATACAAGGTCTCAAGATGCTCTCATCCTCTCTAGCTCTCTAGCTATTCTCTCCTCTTTTGTGGTAGCTTAAAATCTCTTCCCTTGCTCTCCTAAGCCTCACACCCTCTCTATTTATAGAAGCAAATGAGTGGTAGGTGGGAGGTAGGTGAGCGGTAGGTGAGATGTGGTGGGTGAGCGGTACCACATTACAAAAGTGCTCTTTTACCTTAGTTCGATAATTGAGGGTCAAAATAACAGCTGTTTACAAAAATTGACTACTATACATTCATATATACATCTACCTTATAATCAAACCGAGAACTCCTTCACAAGTTTAAACTCTCACATTTTCACCGACTAAAAGCTGCAGCTCACAAATCACTGCCCGTAAATAGCAAATTAAAGGCACATGATCATGCTTAAATCAATTACAGAATGATAATTAATTGAACAATCCATCCAAAGCAATATCAATATAATGATAGATCAAGCCATTGCCGCCAATTGATTAATAATAAAGTCATAATAAAAATAACAAAAAACAGTCCAATACCCAAAACAACCCAACACCCGAAATCTTTGCAAATGAAGCACCCTCTTCCATCCATATTTCAGATTTTCAAAATCAAACAAAGAAAAAATAAAAAAAAAAAGGGAATTTAAATTTTAGGCAATTACAACCAAGGCACACATTGCGGATCAAACATATCAATGCATCATGTTTCATCTACTCTTCAAACCAACCTCAATGTCCATAAATATCAAACCAAACTCAAAATCCCATGTATATGAAATACATTGTTGAAAAAATCAACTATAGTCATGAACAACAATAAAAATATTTAATTTCCATAATTATTTTTCAAACAGGGCATCCGAGAAGGCCACAAATCGTAGATTAGAGAAATGAATCGCAGAAAGTCCCGAATCACAAACCGCATAAAACCAAATCCATAAAAAAAAAGTCTCAAGAAATTGAATACAGAAATCTCTAACTAACAAATTACAAATCAGAGAGCCGAATATTGCACAATACAAACCAATCCATCGGCAATAACCACAGGTACTTACAGAACGAGGCGGAAGAGTAGTACGACAACGCTGAGAGATACGGGTGAGAGGGAGAGAAGCGTGCGAGAGAGATGGCCGAGAGAGACGGGCGAGATGGAGAGAAGAGGGAGATCGGGAGTTAGGGCAGACGAGATGCGAAGAAGCGCGAGGGCAATGGTGTCAAAACAGACAAATGGGTCGTAGGCCGCGGCCGCGGCCGAGTATAACATAATAAAATTTATCGCTTTTTCTGATAAGCTCTCTCAATGCATTTTCAAAATGCCCAATGTGGCGTTTTCAAAACGCACCACAATTGATAAGCTGCCCCAAATGGGCACTCAGTGTCACCTACTTTTTGAAAGTATACTAGTCATTTTTATGCGTAGGTTCATCACACAGAATTGTTATGCGTATAAATATAAAAGCATTGGCGTAAGATTTGAAAATACATAAGAATTATGTGGTATTTATGCAAATTTCTTGTTTTTTAAATGGTTTGGGGATCTATAACAACAAACAACAGCATATTAGGAAGTATATGAACTTAATTATGACCATATGTCGATTAGTGCTACATTTGAATAATGATTAGAGGCTTATCTGACTAAGAGAGAATGTCGGGACTAGGATTGAGAAAGAACGTCGGGACTTTTTTAAATTTTCACTCAAATATCAAAATTTATGATAAAACCCCAAAGTCATATTTTTCTTTTCTATCAAGTTCTTAATAGTTTAATTGTGGCTCACGTAAATATTTTTCAAAATATCACATGGATGTTTGATTTGTAAATAGTAAGCTTTGCCTGTTTGGAGTACTTTTATATAGTTTCTTTCTCGATCAATTTATTTTGTTTAGCAACGTAATGGTTAATATCAAAAAAGTCGGTTCATCAGTCACGTGTGATAGGAAATTCACAATCATATTTTGCAACATCTATCTTAAGATGGTCGAGTTTGGAAATAGACTCACCGCCCACTTTAACAAAGAACGGTGACAAAATATTACGAAGAAGTTCAAGTAAAAGACAGAAAGAGACTACGATCGATTACAATTTATGAACAAGTGGGATCAGTTAAAAAATGACTGGAAGTTATGAAAAGAAATAAAATAGGGATCCACGAGCTTGAGTTGGAATCCAATCAAACAAACTACTGATGCTTCAGATGATTAGTGGACCGAGAAATTAAAGGTAACAACCAAACCCATAAAGATTTGTTTTTCCATTATTTATCCCTACAATCTGCTTTAAGTAATAAACCTTCTCGTATGTTGCAGGCAGTGTCAACCCCAAGAAATTCAAATTAAGAGGTATTGAGCCAGACCTGGAGAGGAAGTTGGACTGTATGTTCGGTGAGATTGTTGCGATGGGCACACATGCGTTCTCCCCAAGTGAGTCTGGGTTCGCAAGCATATTAGAGGACTTTGAGACCGAGCAGGTAAGTGGGTCTGGTGAAGGCCCTACCCAAAACCAGGAGCTGGAGTCCACATGCCGGTCAAAGAGGCCTAGAGTGGAGAAAAGAAAGAAAAAAGAGTTGCTTTCATCAGAAACACAATAACAACACTGGTAGAAGCACGCACAATCAGGTTGATACTTCAAAGTACACCTCCATAGACGACTTTCTTCGAGTTTTGGAAACATATGTTGAAGTTAGGTCGGATAAGTCATTTTAACAAAACTGGTTGAAGCGCGCGCAATCAGGTCGGTACTTCAAAGTACACCTCTATAGACGACTTTCTTCAAGTTTTGGAAACATATGCTGAAGTTAGGTCGAATAAGACATTTTATATGAACTCCTTGAAGTTGTTGGAGAACCCGACCCACAAACAGATATTCATGAAGACATATTAGGGTTGGATGGTATCCCTGGAGGACGACGTAGCTCGTGACATACATCGTCGAGATTTTAAAATTATTATTATTACATTTTTAATTGAAATTTTAATAGTTTTTTTTTCTTTTTTTAGTACACTTGATACTCATTGTTATGTGAGATATATATTTTATTTTTTTCTACTAGTCTGAAGTGGTTTTTTGTTTCTCTAGTATCAGATATAATGCTACGATAACTCTATTATAAACATCATTATTGCACAGGGGCAAAATTATCATTTATCCAAAAAAAAACTTCAAAATAGTTGTTTTCCAACAGCACAAATCAAACGGTCAACCAACTTATACAGATCAACTGTTGATTAATGGCTTATCTGGATCAGGTGCTTATCAGCGGCTTATTAATAAGCTGCAGCTACGCCAAACAGGCATTGATTCTTGATGTGATCAAAGATTTGAATGTTATGCATGTAAATATAAACGTTTGAGTTTCAGATATGTAAGTACACAAGAATTGCGTGGTATGAGTGTAAATGCACGCAAAAAGAAATGAAGAAAACTCACTTCATCAGCTCCTCTCTGTAAAGGTAGCAAAAGCAGCAACTTTCATATTTTTTATTCAAAATTATATGGTATCTGAACTTACATAATCCCAAAGAAATGTGGAGAAAAATCTCACAAGTTTTCACTCTACAATTTATAGGTCAAGAAGCGGTTGCAAAATTTATCAACAAATGTATTGTGATTCACCCAAAAGGTTAAAACTGTAATATTATTTTTCAGACCCTTATAGCAAAGCACTGTAATATTATTTTGCTGATTTTAAAAATTTCAGGAGATCAAGAAATGGCATCCATCATAACCTGCAATTAAAATTTAATTATGTGGAAATTCCAAAAAATAAAAACTGAAAGTCAAAGAAATTTCGACAAATTAAGGTTCGGATTGTTTGTTATGAAATTTGGGTAATTTTGAACAAATTTTCCGAGCTGATTAACCAGGGCTCTGATTTTTTTTGTGCATTTGCATGCATCCCACACAATTCTTATGTATTTACATATCTAAGCCCTAAACTTTCATAATTATAAGCATAGCACTCAAATCCTTCATATCACAGAAAAAAAAAAATCACTTTTTTTTTTTTTGGAAATTCTAATTTCTTTTTATTTTAAAAATGGAAATATACTTGGTTATAAATATAACTATAAAATTTTATATGGTAAATATAAAAAAACATAAGAATTGTGTGGTGTGTGTGTTAGGATTATTCTTGTATGTTTTTTTATTTAATTTTTGCTTGTAAATTAATTTTTTAAAACTATTTATTAAGTAATTTTTATTTAATTTTCATTTTAAAATTTTAAAAAGAAAATAAAAACTTAGAAAAAAAAAACAAAATCAGTGTTTTAAAAACTAACTATCATTATCAAATAAAATTTAATTTGTATGTATATACCATATAGTTTTTATGTATTTACATATGTAACATCAAAACTCGACTTTTTTAAATGTGTACTTCATCCTGTAGGGGCTGTCATTTTGGACAAGACGAAGGCGTGGATTAGATAAATTCGGATTTTGTGGATTCCGACCATAAATCCCGTAAATTCTAAATCCCACGAATCGATGAATTTACCAGTTTTATAGCGAGAGCGATTGAGATTACAGTGGAATTACACAAAACTCCGAAATAGTTTTAATGAACTTAGAAATTAAATTCATTACCAGACAGCTCCTTAGTGGCATATTATAGTATAAAAGATTTAAGATTTAAAAACTTAGAATGCATGATTCAAAACTTAGGCGCTAGATATATAAATATATGTAAAAGGTCCTAAATAAATAAATTAATTAAAAAAAAAGAGAAATTCATAGCTTACTCGGGTCTCTGGTGATGAGCATCGCGGTTCCGCCAAAGTCGCACGTACCGCCTGCCACCTTCGTCCTCTGCCAGTAACTATTGAACGCAAAAGAAGCATGTGCGATCAGTGTATCGGGTTGATAGCATGACCCATTGGGTTCTATCGACTCGCAGTCCGCACCCGACCCGCATGCGTAGTTCATAGCTTCCAGTATTATCGGGTCCGGCACCGTCGGCTTCGCCACGCACCACAATCCCGGAGTCGTCATCGCATGCGGCGGCGGCGGAACGTTAGGCGGCGGGCGGCGGCGGCGGTACGTTAGGCGGCGGAAAGATTACCGGCGGTAGGAAGATCGGCGGTCCCGGCACGAACTCCGGCGGGCTAGGTGTCAGTCCTGATGGAGGGCTCGGCATAAAGCCCGGCGGGCTGGGCTCGAATCCTGGTGGGCTGGGTTCGAATCCAGGGGGGCCGGGTAAGACGAAGGGTGGGTTGGGGATGATAAATGGTGGAAAAGGAGGTGGGCTTGGGGCGGGGAAAATGCCGGATGGTGGAATGGGGGTGAGGGGGAATGGGGGTGGTAAGATGCAGAAGGGGGGAAAGTTCTGAGGAGAGGAGGAGGAAGAAGGGCTGATAGAATACTCATCTGGGGGAAATAGCGAAGGAGGAGAATCATCGGAGTATGAATCCAATCGCCTCAGTGTAATGAGATCTCGGGTTTTCGGATTCTTCAGGGGTGCTGTATTTCTTCCATCTGGAGCAAGTAGGTTAAATGACTTTGAAGAAATGTAAAGAGATTATGGTTCGGATGCTAATCGGAAAGAGATTGAGAGGGTTTTCTTACCGCAGAGAAAGGGGAATTTAGTTGCAGGATAGAGGAAGAGGAGAAGGGAAAGAAAGCTCTGGTAAAGTATTCTTTTCTCCATCAGGTGCTGAAAATGGGAGCTTCTGTTCCTGGAGATGCCGAGCTTCAAAGAACTGATAGTGTGAGTCGGGATAATTATAGACCGTGAGGAATGCAAGAGGAAAAAATATTAAACATTCGCCCTCGTGTTGTGTCAAGTGGTTTTCATCATTTTTAACATTCATTAGTGTATTATGATGGGATCTACTTGACCAATGACACTCGATCATTGACTCTCAACACAAATCATGTTAAAAGTCCTGATGTAATCTTGTGAGGCGGTATTATTAATTTTCTTTATTTTTCAGGTATTCACTATAATTCTATTTGAAAAAAAAATTTCTTTTTTTTTTTTTTAATTTTTTGTGGTAGAAAGTTATTTTTATCAATCTGATCTATTAAAGTATTGTGATTGTCAAAAAATTACGATATGACTTTTTTAAATTAAAATAAATTTATAATAGTCACTATAATTTTTTTAATAAAAATTATTTTTCATAGCTTCACAACTGCTTCATTAAGCCGTTGCAGCTGCCCCAAACAGACCTTCTATTAATGACACTCAAAATTTTGCTATTGAAAAAACTAACACCAAATTCATTTTTTTAAAATTGAAATGAATTTGGTGGGAATTTGATAACAATGAAAAGTATGAGTTGAAATTTTATTTATAAATTTTTTATATTTAAGTGAGAATTTGAGAAAGGGGTAAAAGAGGACAGTTTTGTAAATAGCAAAATTTTGAGGGTGCTAATTTTTCTTTTGCATTCCTTAAGAGACTTGAGTGAGGGTTGAGGAGAATGGGGAAAAGTGCTGAAAGCTTGTAGTGATTAGTGCAGGTATATGTGCTTGCGTGGAGGAACAGACATTAAAAGAAAAGAGATGGTCTGGCCTTTTGGTTTGGCTTGTGCTCCACTCAAGGGTAATGAAAGTTTAATGAAAGTATGAAGCTTTTGTCTTTAATGGAATGCAACCTATATTTCATATATGTTCAATTTTCTATGGAATGATTCATACATGGCATGCAATTCTTATGTATTTACATATCTCACTTCTAAACTTTCATATTTACGTGCATAATGCTCAATATTTTGATAAATAGCTTGGAAAAACGGAAAGCATGTTGATTAGAAGCATTTGATGATGATGATGATGATGATGGTAAAATTTGAGCATAAATTTCATTAAGCATTGTCACAATAAATGGCTATATGTTCTTCTTCTCTAAGTCATTCTAGGTTAAAAAAATTCACATTTTAATTAATGCCACATGATTGGAGATCTCTCAAGTAAAATAAAGAGCTTCTAAGCACCAAGGTTTTTTACCAACCAGTTGGAATTTCAATAATAACATAATAAAGTTTATTGTACTAAATTTATGGCATTTTTGAGTAATCAACCTCTCTATGAATTTTTATCAATAAGGGAATAACGTTGTGAAGCATCTTAGGATAAAATAAACATCTCAATGAATAAAAGTTTATCTTGTAGCAAATTATATCAGAAAAATATATTAGTCAAAAAAAAAAAACTCAGTGTTACTGTTTTTCGAATCGCATACACCTCATAAATGATTCAGAACTATGTACATGTCATAATGATAATGTTAGTTTCTTAAATGGGTAAGATTGTAAAATCCCATTAAGCGCAATAACTATGCCAAACTCTAAAGTATTAAGTTAACTTTTAACCTACCAATAAATTTCTCCAGAACCTTCAAAGCTTAGCATTTCAAAAGGACAAAATTATAGGCATTTAAAATAAAAAAATATCATTTTTCAATGGATTAAAGTATAAAATATTACACAAGCTTTTCAAATTTTATAGTCAATGGTTAAGAAGGATATAGCCACTTACTATGACTAGAAAAGACAAATATGAACCATAGAAATTATTATTTTTGTTGATTTTATCATCTTCTTTTCAAAGAGTTTTTTATCTTCTCTCTTTTACTACAAAATTTTTTTCTAGTTATAACTAAAAGCTTAAGCCCTTTTCCTAGCCCTCTCTCCATAATTTTATATTTTCTTGTGATTATTGGATGAAGCAACACAATAAAATCATCTCCTTATAATATGCTTAAATGCGATAGATAGCAAGCTTGTATGAGTTAGGTAAGAAAAAAATTATCTTTCTATCTTTACAATCTCTCATTTTGAGGTAAAACTTTTATGTATCTATTTAGTGGTTAATGTCCGAACAGTCTGCTCTACAATATCACCATTTTATCATACATTGAGATTAACTGAGATTAAATATAGCCTTAACCTTTTAGTGAGTACCAATTTCATGAGCATGCTAATGAGAATTTTTTCTCTTTAAGTTTGACATGTTGTAAAATATCTTCTTTAAATAAACTATATACATTGTTCTCAATAGTATATTATGTTTTGTCAAGAAGTAGAAGGAAACATTCTTTGACAAGTGAATGATAATTTAACTATCATAGATAGATAAATAATATAATATAATTGCTCAAATGCTTCTAAAAAACTATTTATACATTTCATCTCTTTAATGACTTTGATGATATTTATGTATTTAGTTTTTATTATTAATTAGGCAGCCATCTTCTATAATTATAATGTCGAAATTAATATCGATGCCACCAAAAGAGTAGATGCACCCAATAGTACTTTTTTCTTTTTTTTTATATCTCCCAAAAAACCTTTATCAATATATACTTGAAGATTTAATATCTTTTAACTTCAATGAATAATTAATTGTATCATTTATGTAGAGTAGATCCAATTTTATAACCTCCAAGTATTCATTATAACCTCCAAGTATTCATTTTTTTTTTTTTATTTTGACATATACAGACTAAAAGCTCGTACTACACATGCAATTTCTAATCTTGTGTGCATCATTACATATAGAAAAAAATCAAATTGTTAATCATTAAGACACTTAGGTTTAAGAAAATAATAGCATTATCTAAACATATTTTTGTTTCAAGAATCTTCTTTGCTTCTCCTAAATCCTCCATATGAGCCTCATTTGATAATATCTTGTAAGATCATTCATTTTTTTAATGTTGGTCCTTATAGTCAATATATCTTCTATATATAAAAGTAAGATCTTATAAACTTTATTAATGTCATTTACATAGAAATAATAGTCGGTATTAGATTTGTGAAAGGTAATCCTATGCATGAATTGATTAAACTTTTGATACCTTCAAGCCATATATGCTTTTATTGAATTTTGGATTAGATGTACTAATCATTGTATAATAAAAAAACTTGTGTTAAACTATGCAAGATGCATTTATCTATATTTTTATAGAGAAAATCAATCTTAGCATTCGTTTCCTCTAATTACAAGTCTTTCGTAGCTATAATTTCCAATATTAGCGATACAATTGTTAAAGTTCTTTTTCTTCAAATAGCCTAATTAAAGTTTTATTCTTATATAGTACTCATTATTAAGAAATTTTTATTTCTTTTTTTTTACTAATTCTCACTTAGATGAATCTTTAATCTATATTGTGAATTCATAACATTCAATTTCTTCTTCATCAACTGAGTATAAATAATATAAAGAAAAAGAATAACAGTAAGTAAGACTTAGATATTTTTTTGATCTCTATACTATTATGATAGGAGTGTTTTGATCATAAAAAAATTATCATTTTTGGGTATTTGGCATACTTTATTAAAATTAACCATTTCTTTTAATTCAACATACCTTATAACAAATATCTTTTTTCTTACTCTTACTTAGCCTAACCTTATATTTTTCAATTTCTTTGGAAATAATATTCATGCTTTTCTTTCATTTCCATATTTTTATTATCTCAAAATTTGCTGCCAAAGTCATTAATAATATAACCACTTAGTTATCACTTCTTAAATTTTGAGTCAAGCTTATCTCTTCTATTTTGATCTATATATGCATAAGAAAGGTAATAAAAGCTTATTAAATTAAACAGACATACCTTATTTTCTTTCAATCTAGTCTTCTTAGGAAGACCAAAATTAAAAGCTATAAGTGGGCTTGATTCATAAGGCATGTTATTGTGTATACTACATCATCAAAATCGAAATAACTTTTTTTTCTAGAGCAAAATTAAGTTTTTTTTTTTTTTTTTTTTTTTTTCTATTTTCACTCTTTTTCATGTTTTATTCTATGTTAACTTTTAATCACTCTTAATTTTTTATAATGTCATTATTTGTATGGATGAACTTGAGATTTACTTATATTTTATTATGTGTATGAACTCTTATTTTGTGGTTTAGATCATCTTCATCTTAATGATTGTTTTTATTTTGAGAGCTACTTTTGCTATCAATATTCAAAATAGACAAATGTTTTTTATTTTATTTTTTTATTTTATTTGGGGTCTTGTATCATTGAGTATCTTCACTAAACATGAGATTGCTGGCATATTTTAATTTTCATATTTTTTTTTATTTCGCAAGAGTTGTTGATAGTTGTTGCTACATCATTCCAATTTTCATGAAGCAATAAAAACACTTGAGGCTTAAATTTTGCTATCAAAATTGATATTTTGAACATATTGATATGTTCAAAATATCAATTTTTGACAGCCATGGCCATGAATAAATAATATAATCATACAAATAAGATTTAAATGCATCTTTTATAGATGAAATGTCTTGTTTGAATGAATCAATTTATTGGACTGAAACGCCAATGAAGTAGATAATGAGAAACAAGAGAAGCAGTCATACCTTAGTTTGTCTTGGTTTCAACAATAATTTCATTCACATCAAGAAGTATATTAATATGCATCTTGTTGAAACATGTTAAAATCATCACGATCAGAGAATATTATATTCTTCACAAATCATAAGACCTTGCATAAAATTTGTCCAGCTTCTCCAAAAGGTGTTTTAAGGAAGATTTACACACATACCAATCAATTCTTATGTATTTACATGTCTAACACCTAATCGTCATTGCATGAAAAGGTGCATTTCACCTTCTAAAAGTTACTGATAATTTTGATGTGATATGAAAGATTTTGATGGTCGAAAGGAAAAAAGCAAAATGCAGTTCTTAGATATGTAAATATATAGGATTTAGGTGAAAGACAAAAAAGACAAAGTATACCGTAGCCCCAAGGTGGCCCTCTTCCACCAAAAAAATTTCCGTCCGGACGTT